AGATTAAAGTGACAAAATAAAAACAAAACAAAAAATAAAATTTGGCAAAGCGGATGGGGTAATCTCCGCTTACTGCGTGATACGGGCTGTTGGATGAGGGGTGGGGGTGGGGGGGGGGGGGTTGTTAGGGTGTGACGTGATGACGTCGTACTGTGTGGGTGTATGGGTTAAGTGAGGGAGGATTAAGAGGTGATGATTGCGGCGTGGGAGGAGAGGTCCAATTTGAGGCAGGAAGAGGAGCAGATGATGACTGCGTGGGTGTAATATGAAGGTGCATCGTGTGAGCAAGTGATTGCTGCAAACAGAGGCGGATGGCGGTGGGTGCGTGGGGGGTGGTGTTTAGCCGCCCACCACATTTCCGGCAGACTATGTCAATGAAAATTTAAATATTTAATTAGTTGAAGTTAATTATTTTACTTTAGTGAATAATGTACTGTACTATAAAGTGTGTTCACATGCTCTATACCTTGGTGATTATTTTTTGTGCTGTCATATATTACTTTTAATCCCAGCTTGATTCTATAAATAAACCTAACATTAACCAATACCAACACAGCAGTAACCTTAAATGTAACCGTAAACAAAACGTATGGCAGTTGATTGATACCAGTTCATCTTTCTATATATTCGAGCCAGTTTATATTATTCCATAAATCACTTCTTGATTAATAACGTTTTATTATTCCTTTGATTTGTAAGAAGAGTAATCTAACTAAATATTAGTTTGATCCCACACTCTTTTTTTTTTAATTTACTAGTCTTTTAAATATTAGCTATGTAAAGTAAGGCAAATGTAAGTAAAATACCCATCATGGGGCAGGTGAAGTAGGGTTCGCCTGTTTCAGTGAGCTATGCAGGGTAGTGTGTTATTGCAGAGCTGAGTGGACTCAGGGACGTCATATGGACTCGAGCCCGTGATACAAACTCGAAAAGACTTTTAGGTGAGTAGTCGAACGCTCTAGAATTCGACCACACCGCCCCTCACGAAGAGTCCTACGAAATATTTCAACCAATTCTGACTGAGTAATAATCCATTCCAATTTAGCTTTTCTGGTTATCAAATGCCTGGTACTTCCGAATACGTTTTTTATTATAACGTTTTCGTACCGCTGGTTATATCTATTCAATTACCTTTTGGGATCTGGTAGTCAATAGAGCGGGTGAAGTAGAGTTGCTTTGTCCCCAGTGTTTCTTCCAGACTTTTTTCTCCGGGGAGGGAAAGGGGGGGGGGGGGGCCCGACACTAGTAAAAGTGTATGTTTACTATATAAATTCTATCAGACCCCCCCCCCCCCCCGAAGAGATGCCTGGAAGAAACTCTGTTTGTCCCTGTGACCTCTACGAATAAAACATTTTTTTCCGGGGTTCGAACTTCAGACTTTTGGATTAACAGTCTACCACCCTACCACCCTACCACGCGTACCCCGGTTATCTTTATAGATACCACCTTTAGTAAAAACACATATCACTAAACTTAAACTAAACCCTGACACTGACACCAATCCTTAAGAGCCTAACCCCGAGCATACAAATAATGGCAGTGAAAGGGGGCGGAAAGGTTCGTGTTTCTAATCATTGAGACTTATTTCGTATTTTAACCCCCGCTAGCGACTCGTTACAAAATGTTACTGTGGTCAATCAGTAACATTACTTTTCGAGTGTCAATGTTACATGCACATCCACACACCTTAATCGTTTCCATTCAACCGCGCGCCACCACACCGCGCATGTTTAGCGCCGTACCAACAATGTAACAATGACGCCCATTGGCCAGCTCATGATTGAATATTTTCGTACCTATTGTTGCCATTCAGCGGCGCTTAGGAGGGACAACTCCAGCGAAACGGTTGTCGCCCTTGGCAAAAAGTGATTCTAGTATATTGAACATGTCTATTCTAACTAGCAACAGCGTGGACCACTCCTGAAATGTCAAATACAGTACTCAATAGAAACTATAATAAGACATCAAATTTGTGCATTCAGCCACGGTAATTACAAAACCTCTCTTCTTTAGTAAGTACGTGATATAGTTTATATATATATATATATATATATATATATATATATATATATATATATATATGGGGGGGTGTTATTAAAGGGATTTATAAACACATGGACCAATATGTATATGAAAATATCTATAATAAATACAATTTATGGTTTACCTAAATCTGATTCCTCATTTTGTATTTTTCACTTGACGGTTTTACTGTCACATAAGAAGGATGCATCAACATAGGTTATTTTAATGGAAAGTTTTAGTAGGAGGTTTGGATAGGGGGTTAGTGGACTAACGGCATCTGTCTTGGTACCTTAGGATGGGCAGATTGTGACCTTGGGAAGGGCAGGTTGTGACCTTGGAAAGGGCAGGTTATGACCTTGGGAAGGGCAGGTTGTGACCTTGGGAAGGGCAGGTTGTGACCTTGGGAAGGGCAGGTTGTGACCTTGGGAAGGGCAGGTTGTGACCTTGTGAAGGGCAGGTTGTGGGCTGGGTGTGGGGAGGGGGTGGGGCACCCATACCTTCTCTGCTCAGTGCCGGAGGTTGACGTCACACCAGATCGAGCCCAGACCCTCACCTTAACGGCTAACTTCATTATCCCATAACTCGGGTTATCTTACTTCTGTTCTGGAACGTTCTTTTAATAAAGTTTCACCTATCAAATGTGTGTTAGTGCAAATTGTATATTGAAACACTCTGTATAAAAAGAATAAAAAAAGAAGAGATTGAAATCAGTTGGGAATCTCCAAAATCAACAGCCGTTGCAGTATATCTGCTTCTTTAACCACGATACGTCTTTATAACGGGACCTAATACCATTTTGTTTTACGCCCCTTATAAACATTCTACTGATAGTTTAGGTTTGTTTGTGCTTTTATTTGTTATAACGAAATATAGTTGTATAGCATGTGCCATTTATTACACGATTTAACAATTACACCACATTTACCCTTGCGACATGTAAACGATAGATGTCTCGGAAAAAAACAAACTGGCAGCAAGTTAAGTATACATGTTCCGTGGGGAAAATGTTTTAATATAACATTAATTTGTTGTGAGTTTTATTCCTAGACATGTATAATATACATGTCGCAAGTGTAAACGCGGTATAAGTGTTTTTGTTGTTTGGAAATAAGACTAGGGATGAAGGGAATAACGGTGTTGGCTTTGGGTTATGGGACGAAGTGGTCTATCGACAGAGCACACAAGTACTACCCCGTTAGTGATGAGTTCGGCTCACATCTTCCAGACGTCTCAGTGTCTATTCCGCTCTGACCGTTAACTAGCGGGGGAAGTAGAGGTGGCCTGACATAGTTATGATCAGTGATTACACTTTTCCTTCATATGTAGATGAGAGTAACTGATACATTTACTTTACTACCCCATAAACCATCAATTAAATAAATTTAGTGGAATTAAAGGAAGGAAGTTGAAGTATTTATACCTAGCGTTGTAGACTGTAAGAATAAGAGTTAAAATATAGAACATAAAAAGTTGTAGGATAGGACTGGACTTCCAATTTTAAACAAGACCGCATCGACGATTTTTAAAAAAAAATCTTCACAGAAAGAGATGCCTGGAAGAAACTCTGATAGTGTGATCCGCACTGTGCCTAGCCGTCGATAGGTACCCATCAGAGCTGGGTGGACTCAGGAACGTTCTACTGATTTGAACCCGGATTCGAACTTGAAACTTTCGGTTTAGCAGTATACCGCTCTACTGTTAATCCACGCTATTCTGTAGAAAAAAAAAAACCATATTGTATTACCCAACCGGAAAATACCTAAATATCGATCTAAGCGATTTATTTCTAACATCGATATATTTTAAGTTAGGTAACGGGAACGTATAACATACAAGGTAAATTTCTTTACGAAGCAAAACACCACCCCACCCCATGTGACGTCATACAATACAAGCTGACGTCACTTGACACCTTTGGTTTAAAAATAAATACATTTTTTGATGAAACGCTATCTGACATCAAAGCAAGCGGGGCTTTATTGATCAGAGTTCAAAACGTGAGCACTGAATTTTAATTATACATAACCTAATCATGGCGCTGGTCCGCACACCACGATCTGTTTGTTTGTTGGTTGGTTGCTACTGGCGACGGATAGTTTAATAATTGTCGGATTATTTTATAAAATTTTGAACTTTTTTTTTTTTTACCGCTGGGCGACACATTTAAAAAAAAATAAAAAGATAAAACACATTACACTGAAAGATCAAAGGCAGACGGATGAGGACACGTTTTTTTGGATTTTTGTTTTGTTTTGAGCATGCGCAGTAGGTTCCAACACAATTCGCGACACACACTCACACGTGTTTCATGTTCTACGGTGATCCAGGCGACAACAGCACTGAGGGTAGATATGGATTAGAAGAGGGGGACGAGGGAGGGAAGGGAGGAGGGGGGTGGATTTTTTTTTTTTTGTGATTGAAAACGACCTCAGCGTCGCGTACGGGTCTGCCGTTTCTTTTGAAGCGCGAGATGGCCCCGCCCCCTTTTTTTCTTTTTTTCGTTTGAACGAGGCTGAAGGGTTGATCGCGAGGTTTGACGGTTATGGACGCGAGGCGGAAGTAACGAATAGCGCGCGGGGAGCGGTCGCGAGGTAAGAGTTTTACGGGTGGGCGCGGCTTAGAGAGAGACGGATTATCGATAACGGGTTAACTCGCCCGTTGTATGGTCGCTGTGTTGTGTTGGGATCAATCAACCCTTCCCCCATACCACCCCCCCCCCACTTTCAACCCCACCCCCCCCCCCCGTTATTTTCGTTATTTTTTTATATCTCCCCCACTACCTCACCGTAAAATAAAAATATATTCTGAATTCAAATCGACGAAACCACCACCCCCCCCCCTTTTTTTTTAAATATAAAATCCCCCCCCCCAACCAACTCAGCTACGGAAGTGTGGCCCTCGCCCCGCCCCCCTCACCGTCCGCGGCTTATTAAGCATGTGTTTTATAGCAGCAGAGGTGAGTCGGACGGTCCAGCCAATGTTTTGGGGATCTCATGCCCTGTTTCGTGCCCTTTTCTCCCGGCGAGCTTGGAGCGAGTAATTCCATCCCACGCCGCTTGACTGCCTGCCTACCAGAGCAGATCCCACTCGGACGAGACCAGCGCCAAGGCTAGGGGTAAATGCCGTATGCTAAATAGTGGTTCACACACGGGCTAGATACTCTGAACGGGCGAGTGCGCCAAGCGAATGCTGAATTTCACCTCGGCGGATATTAAGAACGCACGGATTAATGGACCGAGGAGGTCGCAAATAGAAGTTAGGTCTAAGAATAAGCCATCCTTTATTATGCACAATTTCGTTTCTAGCTAAGCAAAAGGTGTTTCAGTTGTTTTTTTATTTTTAAAATAAATTTACATTTTTTTTTTTTTTGGAATTGTGCGGAGAACATTTTTTTTTACTCGGAGGAAACAAGTTACTCGGTGATGTTTTCTAGGCGAGCGAGCCTTTTCTAGGCACCTGAGCCTTATCCTGTTGTCATAGCCTTATCTCGACGTCTTCTGTGTGACTTAATCACAGGAATAAACTACAAGGTGTTAATTACAATTAGTCTTAGACACGTGCAGGTAGCGTCTTTATACTACAAGGACGTAAAATTTTACCTCGGGATTCTTAAAGAAGTTTTTCAAATCCTATCTTGGATCGAATTGACGTACCAAGACGCGAATATTCAGAAGTTCTTCTAACTGGATGCGTGTGTTCTTTGACTTAGTTGTGAATAATTCACTTGGATTCTTTACTGGAAAATAACGTGAAAGGTAATAAATATCTTCTTTTATTTTAAAACATATTTACACATTTTTAATGTCAACCGGGTAGGTCTACTTCAACTTTCTATCTACAAACACACAATGCGATATTGAAAGTATTACACATTAAATCACCCACATACATGAACAGCTACATCTAAATTAGTTACACATCTAAGCAACTACAAACATAAATAGCTACACACTTGAACATTATCATTACATGTAGCCTTTCATTAAACATATCACTTCATGGCGAAGAAATTAAGGTTGTAATTTTGATACTTTTAATTTATTAAACTATTAATTATAAGCCGAACAAATCGAAATTAAACGTAAGATACTACGTGGCATTAGCTGATTAACTTGACAGAATTACATTAATAATACGATGTTTCTAGTCATTTAATTAATGAATTAAGATTATTACACGAGCGGATAAAGTTGACTAGTACAAACGTCGCAATTTAAATAAAAATTATAATAAACCTTTCGTGTTTGATCGCAAAAAATGACTGTAAATAAGTATGTTACGCTTTAAAAGTAATTTTATAATTATTTATAGGTAACGGCTACTCGTAACTTAAAAATAAGCACAATTGTTTTTAATTAAGATTAAAATCCTGACTTATTTATCTTCCGTAAGCCTGAAAATATATTTCAATGCCGTATAGGTTTGGGGCTGGTCTATGCAATAGCAAACAAAATCGGGGAATCTCCGAGAAAAGTTGAACCAACTACAAACATCTTGCCTTGATATACTCCGAGTAGTGTCGGGTGTTTCCAACTCTAAGTAGCTGGTTTACTTATTCGGAGCACATACTCGAAAAATTTTTTTTTTGTGAAAAATTAAACACGTAAAAAAAATACTGCGAAAATTTAAAACACGGAAAAAAGGGTTAATGCGTAAAAATAAACACAAAAAAGATTGCTGCGAACAAATGTTAATTATAATTACCGCGAAAATGTAAATATGAGAAATGCAAAACTTGCAGAACATGGAAATTAATAATAAAAATCTCTGATGCAATTGAAAACGCAGATGGTGTCGAATAACTTATCACCTGGACATGTAATTAGCCTGATTTAATTAGCTCGAGCAAGTATAATATAAACAAGATTATAGAGAGTGATTAGGGGGATTTTTAGTTTAATGGGTGATTCGTTAAAAAAATAATTGATAAATTCGGCAAATGTTTTTTTAGTTCTTGAGTTTATGATTTTTATCCGCCCTCTTTATTATTTTTATAAATAGATTTTAATCAACATTAATAAGGTTGATATCTGTACAACAAGAGGTAAAGAATTTAAAAAAAAATTAAATATAAAATCTGTTGAAAGATAGTTATTTGTTCTAATTGCACTAGATGCTGTTCATCAAATTAGACCTTTTCATTGCGAAAATAAGAATTAGTCGGATTTAGAATATAAATTTCTTTGTATTGCAATGTATGGGTACTTAGATAGAAATGTTATTACATCTGGTTTTCGATTTAGAAGTGAAAGAATTCAGGTAAAAACCTGATATGGTATATATAAAGGTATTTGAAAACGGGGTAGATACACATTTTAATAATTAAAGAAACAACTACCTAATTTTGTCGACGTGTAAGATAAATTGTTAGGTGTTGGATTGGGTTTAAAACTTTTAAATAGTTAAGTTTAAGAAAGATTAGAAAAAATTAAAAATAATTGAAATCTGAGTCATGTGGCATATTTTAAAACGTTTCTCGATTTTCAAAGACAGTTCAGGTTTCTAAAGGAAACAAATTAATATTTTCCAACACCCCCACCACAACACACCTCAAGACAGAATCACACATCTACACAGCACACCTCTACACACCTTAAACAAAACACCAGCTGCCGTCGCTTAACACAAGCAACAACACCTTGCAGCGAGCCGTAGGCCTACGGCAAAGAGAGAAAAAAAAAAGAATCATTCAACGGCTAGGCCTTAGCTTGACGGTTTTCAACGCAACACATATCGCTGTCGGAGTCTTTTCTTCCACACCGTAAGCCTGATAAACGCCATTAAACTTGGCTCAGAGAACTATACAACCCAATTCGTAAATAAACTCAGTTTTTTTTCGCGGGGATACGAATGTAAATTAACACGAAATTTCGACGGAGTTAGGACTGGTGAATTGGACTGAGCGCCGGGAAATCTGTGGTTTGAAATATGATTATTGTTTTTGAATATCACCCGCTCCAAGATAGATACATCAAACATGCTCATTAGTGCGAGCTGCTTGGATGGTTTTGGAAATATTCGCACCTGCGTTGGAGAACAAGAAACAAATTTATGTTTCGTAGTTTAATTTAAAAGAAAATAAATACTATGTGTTTTTCGAAAATGGAATTTTAAATTTTAAACAAAATAAATTTTGTTAGAATAAAATGTTTAACAAAAATTAAAAGTCCCCAAATAAATAATTTTTGTTGTAATAATATTTTTTTCCTTACTCACCATTCAGAAAGATACATACAATTTCATGCTTATAGATTCCAAAACAAATTTACTGAACTTAAAAACCTGGGCAAAATAACATCAATACATATATTATCCAGGATAACATGCGTAAGGAATTTAAAATATGGTTTGACCCAAGGATGTTTTATCGAAATAATTTTTAAAGCGAGTTTATTCAAGCGTATTTACTGCAACGGTAAATATTTAAGAAATATATTATCTCTAGAAAATATTTAAGAACTGTATTGTACCTGGATTTATATTATGGAAAAATTCAATCTATGTATAGCTCTATATTACATGTAATATTTTTACACGACTTTCTTTGAATATTTAGTTTTGCGATAACTTTTCTAAGGACATTTTGCCCCAAGATAGTTTCCACAAAAATATTTTGTCTTAGGATATTTAATGAAAGAGCAAATTTTTTCCCAAGATAATGTACCCGTTGATATTCTTATGGAGAATTTTGTTCAAGATGTTTTATTTAAAGCTATTTTATCCAACGTTTTTCCGTTTGGGTAAATAGAGAAGTTTCTAAGAATTTCATATACCAAAATGTTTTCAATATTCTAAACAGAGTTTAACAAATAGCTCACACATATTTACCTAAGTATAATTCACTTGCCAGAAGATAACTAAAATCAAAATAATCGAAACATTGGCCAGTTAATATAAGAGATAAGTATCTTTAACTTTACAAGATTTTAAAACGTTTCTGAGGTTTCTCCTCACATACAATTAGCTCATGATGCGCTTATTACTGGGCTTCTCATTAACAAAATTTAACTAATTTGTAGCTATACTACATTAATTGATAGGATGTAGATGTATATGAAATTACAATGAATGTGTTAAATTGTTATGTAAAATAATTGTATTAAGCAATAAAATTAAAGTAGCATGTTACACATAATTTTCTTTAAAAAAAGAGATACTACTTTAAATATAAGCCGTAATAAATATTTATTAGTAGGTTAAAATGAGTTTTATTTTTAAACCTTACAAAATAATGTTAATAATTGTAAAACTAGCTATTTTTTAATCATTCCATGTTAAAGGAACTTGTCATTTTAATTTTACTATTTTACTAAACAAGTTTTTGTACCTACTGTTTTGGTTTTGTGTATCAATTAAGTTTTAAAATTATAGTGCGTGGTGCCAAATTGCAATTAAGTTTGTATCAAATTAGAAAATAGAGAGATCTATTGTTTTAAGGTATAAAGTACTTTGAAGATACGCCGGCGAATTATAAATTTAGTGAAATTTACAATCGTCTTGCTTACTACAGGATTTTAAAAACATTCGTGGTTTTAGAAAGCGGTTTCGTTTTTCTCTACTCAAACATTAATTGCCACATTTACATCAAAACACATACTTTCAATCACGCACAATCATCGACTACAATCTCAATTCACACACTTATTGATCACAATATCGAATGTCAATAATTTTCAACAGTTCCCCGTCACATTTAATGCCCACAATATCCATTCACAATCACCTTCCAGAACATACTTACAAAATCAACATACATATATTCTATTCCCACTCACTGTCCATAAAACATATTCACAATCACCGTTCACATTCTTTATTCAAAATCAACGTTCACATAATCTACTCACAATCAACAATCACATCATCTATTCACAATCAACATCCACATAATCTATTCACAATCACCATCCAAATTCTACTTTCACTATCAGTGCTCAGAATCTCCTTTAACAATCACCTTCCACCAAATGTATTCACAATCATCGTCAACAATATACAATCATATTCTTTATCATTGCGCATAACCTCCCCTATTTGCAACGACCACCACGAATAAATTGCTACGGAAATCACAAAAGCAGACGGTATTTTGAATCGAAACCCCTGAATTTACTATCTATTCAAAACATTTTTTTTTTAAATTAAATTAAAAATAGAATAAATATAATAAAAAAAAAACAACTTAGACCTACAGATTCTATCATTTCCCTCTATATATAATTTGACTTTGAAGTCAAAAAATAAATTGACTTGTGACTTAAAACAACAGCTGCAAACCCCAGGCATCAACAATCTAATCCAGTGTAAGCTAAGACAGAGCCGTTATGCCCAGCAGGTATCGACTCCGGTATCGATCGTTAAGCAGTTAATGAGATTCAAGTACTGACATTTATCGATACTTAAGTGGATACGAGTACTGATCTTATCATTAACACGTACTCGATGAAAAAAAAATCCGCGATTAAGTATCGGATTGTATTTCATAAGTGGTAGCGGAATAAAATCAATATGTTGAGATGGCTTTGGTGATTTTGAAATAGTTCCAAAGCCGGAGACTCAATATCTGGGGCTTTAAACGCTGGACATTTTTAAAGCCGGGGATATAGCCGGATCCGGGTTCGGTACATGCTAATCCGTTTGGTTTTTTAGGCTCGGGGTGGTGGTTTGGGGGTATGAATTAGTGGTTTTGGAAATACAATACCTTCTTCTTTTTCTTCTTCGTTCTTAATTTTTGAATATGGTGGAGGAATTTTTT